ATCGAAAAAACTCATTTGCACTTCTGTAAACGATATTTAGAAGTCCATAACAAGTCATCCAATGTTGCATGCAGATCTGAACTTGGCAGATTCCCTCTGATCATTGATATAAATAACAAGATACTTAATTACTTAAACTATCTCCAAGAAAAAGATGAAAATTCTATAGTTAAACAATCTTTAAAAATATCTGTTGACCTTTATGATAGTGGTCAAAATAGTTTTTACTCCAGTCTTAAGAAGATGACTGACTACTATGATTTCCCAGGCTTCAATTGTAATTTACTGAATAAATGTAAAATTAAGCAATATGTAGATCTTATGCAAAAGAAATATATCACTAACTGGAATCATACCCTTCAACATTCACACAAACTTAACTTTTATTATAAAATCAAACGAATTATAGCCCTTCTGTCTACCTAGATCTAACAAGAAAGAACTCTTCTAGGAAAATATTAGTGAAACTGAGAATAAGCAGTCACAAACTTAGGATTGAGACAGGTAGATACGACAATATACCATGTGACGAAAGGTTATGCAATCTCTGCAATTGTAACCGAATTGAAGATGAAACTCACTTTTTATTAGATTGTCCAAGTTTTTCTTTGATAAGAGATATGTTCTTCTTTAAACTAGAACCTAAAATACCGTTTCTACGACTACAATCCCATGAGTCCTTATTACCACATCTGATGAATTCTACTGACTATTTTACTAATATCCAATTAATTTCATTTATATCAACTTGCTTTGAATTGAGAGACAAACTTATCTCCGGAATAATTAATCCTACTGATGTTTAGAAATAAACAATGATTAATAAGTTTCAAATCATTTTAAATATATAATTTACAAGGAATCAATGATTAGTTTCAAGTAGCTTTTGCAATACTGTAATACTTTGTTATGGTCATGCAAATAAAGCCTATTGCTGTTGTTGTTGTTGCTTCTTGATTCTGGCGCCAAACACCCCAAGGCTTTTCTTAACGGCAAACGGGCGTGAAAATTAATTGGCAGTACAAAAAAGAATACGAAAAAACAAAAGACAGCTACCAAAAAGACAAAACATAATAACCACAATATCACAAACAACAATTTGAACACAGATTCAAAGGGAGTCCTACAGGTCCCTGAGTTTTACTTTGGAAAATTGTGCAGTTGCGACGACTGTAAGTTCACAGTAGTTAAAACTGGTACTTTTATAAATTTAGCCTAATTGTTTGAGGGTATATAATAACATACTTTTTGTTTAAACCTGCTCTAATTGTGTGACTAGCATATTCGTTCTGTTCTCTGGTTATAACTAGTTGATGACATACCACTGAGGGTAGTTCTGATTTTAATTTAACGGTGTTTCTCAGGTAGAAGCATCTTTTTTAAGACAGTTGAAAGAAAAAATACATCACAAGAAAGGTAAGTACTGTTTATTCTGTTCAAGTGGCCATGAATTTGAAGACATTAATGAGCTTTCAGTTATTCATTCAGCGACTTCCTTCAATACACACAGTGAGATATTTATTTTCAAAGGGGAACCTTTATCTGGCTTTTTTCTTATAGAGTTTGAGGTTGAACAAATGTGCGTTTGGCTTCAAAAACCCTGCTCTGGGACCTGTTTCTCGAAAGGTCCTGGTAACATTTCGGGCCTGGAAAGCTGTTTTGAGCTCGCCATGTTTACATTCAAGATCAAAGTTTCAATAATTTTGAAAATGATACAATGAAATCATCAGTTAACGAAGCAAAATTGACCGGTTTGTGAGTTAGGAACTGTGTTACTTTTCAACAAGTTTTGATTTTAAAATTTTTTCATCGGCCCGAAAAGTTTCCGGGCCTTTCGAGAAACTGGGCCCAAGTAAGAATGAGAAGTCAACAATAATATAATTAAGGAAGATTTTAAATTGTGAGAATTAAACTAAAGAGGACCGACAATTCGGAATTCGTCCTTAACCCCTTGAAACCCTAATATCAAAAGTCAAATTCTCATTTGCTGACCTTACACGTTTTCAATAGACGTTGTGGGGAGAATTTGTTGAAGCATCAATAAGATTCATCTTCATTCTGTGATCATGTCCTCAATTCTCATAACCGCTCTATTTTATAAAGCATTGAGATTACAACGAGAAAT